AATGTTTACTCCCCAAATGGGAAGGTTGTGGACGGTAGCTCTGGGAAAGCTATTCTCTCTTCTAAGAGATACAGAGAAGATAATCCTTTTCCCTTTGCACGTTATGGTATCTGGGTGTGAGGCCTGGAAGTGCTGGACACACCTTTTGAGCATGAGTGGAGCCGGCATGACTGCGAGGCCAACAACTACAGCTTTGAGGATATCTTTGAAGCCAACCCTAGAATCCACTCAAACTCTGATCTTCCAACCATGAAACAAATTTTCCTTATTGTTTAAGCCAGCTTGAGGTCAGTAAGCTCCTATTACAAGTAATTGAAAGCATCCTGCCTTAACTGGTTTGGCTCAGTGGCTAGAGCGTCAGCATGCGGACTGAAGGGTCCCAGGTTCAATTCCAGTCAAGGGCATGTACCTTGGTGCTAGCACATCCCCAGTAGGGGGTGTGCAGGAGGCAGCTGATCGATGTTTCTAACTCTTTCCTGTCCCTTCCTCTCTGTAAAAAATCAATAAAATATATATTTTTTAAAAATTGAAAGCATCCTGATTTATCCAGGCTGACTTCTTGGTAGAAAGTTGAGATTTTTAGATGTTTGATAATTCAAGGAGAAACAACCTAATATGCTAGCAAGGAGGGTTTCCAGACACTGGAGCAAGAGACTTGTCACAAGATTATGGAGAGAAAATCTTGACAATCCTGGGGAATCCTGAAAACTTTAGAGTGGATTGAAAATTCATTTGGTCCTGGGGACATACATCAAGACTTTAGAGCTATGTGGACGGGTCAGATAACCAGAGAAGGTAACTACAGCATAAGCCTCAGGTGTGGGGTGGGGGAGGGAAAAGCGTGGCTAACAGTGTTTTCTCCAGGAGAAATGCCTCAGGTCTAATGTAGTGATGGAATCAGCAGTCCTCCCCAAGAACTCTGCAGCACACTCTGAGATTCTACTGTCTGGAATGTGTTGCCTGTGCTGAAACAAGTGGGAGTCCAAGGAATTTAGGAAACGTGTTCCGTGGTTTCATGCTCTAGTCTATGTGTCCACATACCCCTCTGGCCACTCCTATCTCCTTTGTGAGCTTTGCTCCTTACAGTTACTCCCATGGCTTCAGTTACCACCCAAATGCTGACCTCTGAATCTCTCTCTAACCTAGTTGTTTCCTGAGTAAACAGGCCTTCTCCATTAAAATTTCCCATAAGCCCATCAAACTTAACACATCTAAACCTCTCATTATATCCACCTCTTTCAGCCTTTCTTACTTCTCTACTCAAAATGTCAGTGAGCACTGTAACTCTTCTGTTAACCAACCTACCCTGTAGTATTCCACGTAGGAAGGCTCCCTGGAGGAAGTGATGTCTACCTCCTGCATTGGGTCTCCTTGGCATCTTTATTTCTGTTTACCATATGCTATCATTCCTAGCTCCATCCGCCTCCTCTACTAGACGATATAAGCTTTGCAAGACAATCTTTTTTTTACAGCTTTATGCACAGCTCTTAGCACATTACAGGCATTAAATATGAATGCTAATATATTCTTTATGCCCAGTACCTAACATATCTGAAAGGAAGATATTCTGGATGCACGGAAAGTATTTACTTGTTTCCTACTTGGGGGCTCTATCCAGAACCAAATTAAGAGCAAAAATTGAGAAGAAAATTGCTTGCTTTTATTGTGTGGCCACACAGCATCTGTCCTTTGGGGAGTCATCATTAGTTGCTCATCAATCATCTACATAAAGCCAAGCATGGGCCTGATGGGGACCAAAAGTAATGAATAGGTGCAAGAAGAAATCATTTTAAAAAGTACATCCGGATCTAGGATCACATGCCACCTGGGCTGCTGAGGGAAGCCAGTCAGCAGTGCTCCTGGGCCAGTGTTCCCTGAAGGGGCCTTGCAGCACTTCTTGGTTGTTTCACAAACAGGGTTGCAGAAAACAATGACGACGACAAAAAACAAACAGGGTTGCAGGAGCCCAGACAAGATTTTAGCAGAAGGCAGAACTCACCAGCCTCCCATGCAGCAAGCTCTCTTGTTGGCCGGAAGGGCTAGAGTTGGAAGTGTGTTCCTTAACACGGGTTGCTCAACTCTCCCGTGATGGGTCCCGATCAAAGGTAATGGCATTACCTAGGGTTGTAAGAAGTGGTAATTGTAACCATGGAACTAAATGAACTCTCAAGAAAGTGTCATCAGAGAAGAGCAGTAGGAATGATGGGTACAGGGGACAAGCAGCTATTAATGAGAAATAAGGACCATCTGAGAGAACATTGTCAGAGAATGGTGTCCCCGACTGGTCAGTTGCTTTAAATCCAACTGAAAGGCCAAGAGAACTAACAGCTTTCTAGTGAATCTAGTGAACCCTGTGTAACAAACCCTTTTACACTTTTGTTTTCACGAAAACCTTCCCAGAAGTAAATTGTGTCCATTAAAGCTTACGTGGAGATGGTACCTGGGACCTCCTCCAATGCCAGACCTTTGAGAAATGTTCTCATTCCTCGTGCACTGACAGCGTTTCCTACAAGGACCAAGTTAAACCCTTCTAAGAGACTAACTCCTCTTACCTCAGCCAGCTTTTTGAGCTACTTAAGATCTTCAGTTTGCATTTTTGCCACCATTGTATTACCATCTCATGTGATTGTTCCCATGAAACTAAGATGTATCTGCACTGCAACATTCACCCTCAGCAGCTCAGGGGAACGTTCCTTCGCCCCTTTCAAGAGGATGTATTATGACACAGTGGCAAGTCTGGCCTCTTATCAGACTTGATTCAGCTGCCAGCTTCCAGGTGTTGTCCAGGGAGCTTTGATGACAGTACCCAGAGGGCAGCTCCAACTTACCAACCCTTTGGCAGCTACTTAACCCTTCTAAGTCCACTTCCTATTCTGTAAATGGGGATACCAAGTGCCTATCACATCGGGTGATGATCGTCATAATGCATATAAAATACCTGTCAGTTTCCAGCACGTATGTACTCAATAGATGTCCAAAAACGCTAAGGCATTTTTATTATCTTCAACTCACTCTGGAATAAACTATAATAATAAAAGCGTAATATGCTAATTAGACCAGACTTCCTTCTGGATGAAGCCAGGCTTCCAGGCTGTGAGGGAAGCCGGTGCCAACAGCCAGGGGAAGGAAGGCCTACTCTTGCATGAATTTCGTGCATCGGGCCTCTAGTGTTAAAGTAGAAACATTAAAACTCTTACTGTATCTTGGACTTTATCCAAGTTGGCCGTCCTTAAAAAGTAACCCTCTTTGGCAGCACACATCAAGCTTTCGCCCAAATCTGGGTTTCTCCGTTCAAAAGAGACAGCTGAAGGATGCTGCCCGCTCGTCCTGCTGGAGAAGTAATGCACTTTTAACGAGGAAATAAACACAGGGGGCTGGCTTTCTTTTACATCAATGGTATCAAAACCCATGTAATTAAAGCTACTATCCTCTCTTCCAGTGGAAACTAACCAAACCATAATTCGTATTTGGAACTGTTTGGCCAAGGGAAATGGTCTGTCGTCAGGCCTGCAACTTCACTTTGGTAACATCAACGGCTCACATTGACTGAGCAGCCACTCTGTGCCTGGCACTGTGACAAGCACTTTTTGTTTAACTCATTAAAGCCTTTTACAGAGAAAAAGTGAGCCACAGAGTGAGTGAGTAGTTTGCCCAAGCCATGAAGCAGACTAAGTGGTAAAGCCAGGTTTCAAACCTATTAGCTCTAAAGGTTTCTCTTGGCACCGATTATAATTTACCACCTTTCATGCATATAAGCATAACCAATGGACACAAGACACTGGGTGTAGGGGAGGCTGGGGGAAGGTCGGGGGGAAGGAGACATATGTAATACTCTTTGTAATACTTTAAGCAATAAAACAAAATTAAAAAAAAAATTTACCACCTTTCTTATCGTAGTCATACCAACAAATAAAGCATCCAGTTCCAGAAATGAAGAATGTTGACTTTGCACAATCGTAAGTTCTCTGTGCCCACGTTAATTCATTAATGCAGATTCGACAGAAGCATGGAAATTGGTAATGACACATAGTAAGTCTATAATGAATTTAGTTATAAAATTATATTCTTTACACCATAGACCTTGATACTTAATGTTTAAAATAACCAAGCAGCCCGACTATGGTTGACATTGACCTATGAACCAGGAAGTCACAGTTCCATTCCTGGTCAGGGCACATGCCCAGGTTTTGGGCTGGATCCCCAGTGTGGAGCATGCAGGAGGCAGCTGATTGATGATTCTCTCATCATTGCATCATTGATTTTCTCTCTCCCTCTCCTTTCTTCTCTGAAATCAATAAAAATATATTAAAATGACAAAGCAAACAGTCTTTCATCTTAAAAACATTTTCTCCTTCATTCTAACACCCCATAGCCTTACTACGTAATATTAGCAAATGTGTTAATAAGTCAGTAGCATTTGGCTAATGTTTTGAAACATCACTAATTACCTGAAATCATTTCACAAAAGTCTGCTTTTCAATTAAAAATTTTAAAAAAGGCTATTTTCTTCTTTATAGTTTCTGTATTTTTGAATATTTTATAACATTTATTTTTACAAGTCAGGGGAAAAACTTAAAGTGTAGTCCCAAACTCCAAGTTTATTTTGCAAAACAAGGAATATTTTAATTTTTTTTAAGATAGAGAGGGAGAGAGAAACATTGATGTGAGAAACATGACTGGCTGCCTCCCACACACACTACGACCGGGGATCGAGCCCAAAACCTGGGCATGTGCCCTGATCCGGAACCCAACCAGCAACCCGCCAGTGCATGAGACAACTGAGCCACATCAGCCAGGGCAACAAGGCACACACCCTAAAAATATTAAGCGCACAGTCAAAATTGATGCACAGGCTTGTTTCACCTTTGTGGTAAGATACTGAAGGATAATGAGTAAAAATTAAGCAACTCAGGAAAAATAAATAACAAGTGCTAAGCGCGCGCGCGCGCGCGCGCACGCACACACACACACACACACACACACACAACAAAACGAATGCAGGAGTTACAATAAAAATCTTTATTTAGGTTTGGTCAGTACAGGGAAGATATACTGGAGTCACAGAGCAATATGCATGAACAGGGTACAACAGTTCATAAAAACTGAGTAACTATGCACACAAATTTCTTAAACATTCAGTCACCTAAAGAGAAAATGCAGATGTATGGTGGAAAAAAAACTGTATCTAACACTGAAACTACCATAGGACTCCATCAACAAGTCCAACTTTTAGTGATAAAACTACTGTACTGGGCAAACTTGGCAGTCATAAACCCACATCTACTCTAACAAGTCTGAATGGTGCATAAGCATAGTAACAGCGTGAGTAAGAATGCCCTACACAGCACAGGTTCTAGAGAGACACAGATTTATACAGACATCATTGTGTTATACTTTAAGGAAAGAGTTCCATTTACAATTTCACATTAAACTCATATAAAAATAACCTGACCTTACACAAAATGTCCTTTTAGCAACAAAGTAATTAACTGTTACAATTTCCAAAGTGGCAGAGGTATTGAAGCAAAGAAAAAAAAAACACACCCACCAAAAAAGGCAAATTGTGACAAAAGTATGCATTAATTTTCTGATAGCATCCTCTCCCAAATTAAATGACGCTGTATAAAAATTTGCTGGAAAAATATTACAAAACTGAGCCCTGTACATTTACACTTGAGTCCAAGCCATTCTGAATGTGGCGGGAACCCGCAGTTCGGTTACCTTTCCCACTCACTGTTTTCTCCTCTTGAGGGTCATGATTGGAGTCTGTGTCATTTAAGTGGTGTGTGAGAGAGTTTTCACTGCCCGTGGGAGAGTCTACACTTTCATACCCCGCACTGAGTTGGTTTACGTAACTACTACCTCCTTTGCCAGTTCTCTCCTCTGAGCTGTTGGAGGCCTTATTACCATTCCCTGGAGAAGAAGGAAAGCCATCTTCAGTGGTGTCCCCCTCCCTGTGACATCCAGACCCAGACGTCCTCGGCCGGGAGGAACTGCCATTGCTTGGTCCGTTGGCCAGCCGACTGCAGTCTTTACCTGGGGCCTCTGCCTGTCCTACAGGCTCAGAAGATGTAGTCCTGCTGGTACCCGGGGCGGGGGCTTGCGCCTGCTGCTGTTGGTATTGAGCCAGCTGCTGGCGTGTCTCCTTCAGTTGTTGCTGAAGAACTAGAATGGTGCTCTGCATACCCTCTACTTCTTCGTCAAGTTGAATGATGAAGTCATTCAGTTCTGTGCAAAGGAGAGTCAAACCTACTTTAATATCTTCTATAGCATATTTTACAATACTTCAATTCTAAAATTGATTTTTTAAATTTTGCTTGGAATTTTAAAACAGCCATTCAAGAATGAGTTGGTTTTTTTGTTTGTTTGTTTTTTTTGGGGTGGGTGGGGGGGGAGTAGATGGTTAAAATAAATATATTAAAGCAACCAAGTTTAAATTGACTCAACCCATCTAGCCATATACAACTGATTACAGCCCATAACATCTGCTTCAGGCTTGTTTCCAGGATTGGGGAACATCCGGCCCACGGGCCATGTAAGGCCCAGGAAATCATTTGGTCTGGCCCTGTCAAGGCATTAGGGGAGAGTTAATTAACTGTTTGACCAAATATAGCAGACTAATTTTTAAGTTGAGAATTTTGGCCCACAAATAATGTTATAAATACCCAAATAGCCGTTGGCAGAAAAAAGGTTCCCCACCCTTGGTTTTAACCATTGGGCCCACATGCCTGGTCCTCTTATTCATTCTCTTAGCAAGTGATTATTTTCAGCTCCACAGCTGGGTTAGCCCCTAGGGAACAATGTGGTCCTCGACTCTAACACTCCAAAGAGGCCTAGGCTGTAACCAAGGGACCATTCCACATAAAAAAAATCTAACAACCCAACAGAGAAAACAACTCTTGAAAATTATGAATACAAATGTCCATTAAGATCTAAAAGCTTTTGGGGAAAGAAGTCCTCACTACTATATAAAATCTCAGATTTACTGTGTTTACGAAGAGTAAGAGCTAAGAACTCACTTTGAAAAGGTAGTTTTAAAGATATTTGACTACTAATCTTTGCAATTAACTATCAGATATAGTAATTAATAATTTAATTTTCAGAGTTTAGATATTTTCCTTACTATTAATCTTCCTCATAAAGAGGAGGAAACAGCTATATACTTGCCCGAAAAAAGGATGGTGGCTGACAAGGATGGTGGTTTGTCTTAGCAAATTTAAATATGATTTCTTATTCATTAAATAGAACCTCAACAGGTACAATCCATGATATACTTTTAGACCACTGGAAGTAGCCAAATACTTACAAGATTTACAATTAGAGAAATTGGTTAAATAAAAATATTCTCCTTTGAAAGCACTGATTATAAATTTGTAGATCTGTGTAATGCCTTAGTAATGTAATAGCCTTTCTCTTTTACCAAACTCCACCCTGAAAAACAAAAACTTATGAAATGTACACAAACAATCAGGAGAGTGGGGAGAAAACCACTACAATTAAATGGCTTTGTCTGCTAACTAACTAGATATGTTTCATTCATAATTTTACAGAACCATTGGCTAGAGATTACCATGTAGAGAACCTAATCTGAAATATTCATGCCTGGCAGTTTTTTAAAGCCAGTGCAACATTAACCAAACTTTTCAAAAACCCCCTTACCATCCTGACTGCTTTTAAGCTCCTCACTATATTTCTTCTGTAAAGCCAACTCTGCTTCAAGTTGTGCAATACGTCCCTGGGACAGCTGCCTTCCAAGCTCTTGATTCTCCTGGATAAGCATTCGACACTTCGCCATTAACTTTTTGCCTGTTTGGCTGCAAAGGAAAGAGCCATCCATCACAAAATGAAGACAAAACGGTCTACAACCTTCTTTGCTTGCAATTAGTACGCGATTCAGGTAACAGGTAAAGAACATAACTATGTCACAGCATATGCCTCCCTGTGATTACCATCTTCTTCTCTGGAACACAGCCATCTTCTGCATTTCAGTATTCTGCCAATACAGCAGCAAAAATAAACCCTAAGCCAAAAGTACCCAAATGGTCACTTTTTATTGCTATTACTTGCCAGTGAATTAACACAAATCTCAGATATGCCAAAATATTAATAAAACAATAAGGTACTTAGCTTTATGGAACAGAAAGTCCTTGAAAAAATAAATGCACCACCACAAATGTGCAATTCTTTAAAATAACCAATATATGGAAATCAGTACCTATAAATGTAAATGCGAGTATATTTATTCTTGCCAGAACAGCATTTAATAAGGATGCCTCTTAATAGGCAATTCTCATAGGAATGTTTATTGCATTAATGGAGGTGTGTTCAGTAATTGTTTTTAAAGAAGCTTTTAAAAATAGAGGCTTGAGACTATTCATATTCATCAATCCCTCATTTAACTTCTTTATAGGACATACTTTTGAGTTATCTTACAATATGACATTAAGGTTTAAAAAATTTATTATCGATACGTAGTTAAGATTTTATTGATGTTATAAAAGATTATCCTTAGGACACAAAAATAAGATCATAAATAATGCAAATATTTGCCAAATTAGGAATGTATACTTTCATAAATTAGTTACCTAGTGCTAGTACAACATACTATAGAGCCTACATGCATATATACAGCAATTATAAAAAATGCAATCAAAAGTCCTGTCTCAATAAAATTTTACTGCTTTTTTTGCTTCAGCCATCACAATAGAAATAATGACTTTTCAAGGGATCTGATTTAAATATATAATCATATATATTACCTTTGAGACATGGATATGAAGTTTGATATCCTTGTAATGGCATTAAGTTCAGAATGACCTTACTGGCTATAAAACTTTTTTTGCTGACAATTTGTATTTCTTTATTCTTTTAGTGAGGTTCCCGCCTTGCCCAATATATTTAAGAATGCATCTGATGTTACTAAGCCTTGGGACTGTTAAATGGGAGCGCTCTGTAAGTAATGCTCATTCTTTGACTCCTGCAAGGTTCTTTTACTGAGAGCACTTGTTCTAACCTATTATCCTTATGCAAACTGTGGTGAAGTACAACTTGGGTTACTACTGGCTCAAAGAAGCCTCAGGTGAGAGCAGCGAGTCAGCAGTAGTAAAAGATTATTAGCTACCTTTCCTGTTTGTGGCTACTGTTGCTACAGATCGCTCTCATTGAACAAGAGTTTAGAAATCAAATGAGGAATTAAGAAACAGGCAGCACTGTCCATCATGCTGATGCTCCTTCCTCCCACTTTAGTGCTATGCTCCCATGGCTTTTTCTTGCTAAGTAACATCAGTGCTTTCCAACTAACCTGAAAAATCTTTTATATAAACTGAACAAAGATCAGAAAAAAACTAAAATCAATAATTTGTGAGATGACTTAATCTCACAAAGTAGACAAATTCTAATGCAAAAATGTTTCATTTATGAAAGTATACCATTTCATTTATGAAGTCATACCGTTATATAAACAAATGCCTGCTCTAAGATAATCCTATCACTTCTAAAATTAATGATTACTAAAATAAATCTTAACAAAACTGTTCTTCTTTAAACATTCTATAACTTTATGTCATTTAAAATTTGTGCTGTGTTCATTATATCACAAAAACATAAAAATTTAATTATAAGTAACTATTTCTGGAAGAATATTTTTTTTTAACTACAAAAAAACCCCAACCCATTCCTAAAATCAAATAATTCACAAAGAAAACATAATAGGAACTGGTTTCATAGAAAATACTTATACAAAAGAATGGACACTGTACATTGCTTTGTTATCAAGGAGCCAGGATATCTTGGGAGAGTTGTACACACAATTACCTAAATGGTTAACTGAAAACTGAACACTGCCAAAATACTGAAACATACCCTCTAAATACTGTAAAACATATGATCATCACATGCATAAAATATTTTAACTACCGTGGACAAAGTAATTCAGGGAAGCTCTCTCAAAATGAAAACAGAATAGGAAAAAAAACACCAAAAGCAAAATCACAACCCATTCTATTTGAGTTATTCCAGATATAGTATTGATTATATACTATTTGTTTTAAGCTAATGATGTATTTACATGTAGTATCTAGAATACCCTGGTTTACAGCCTATTTTTTCAGAGACTAAAAATCTATTTATAGGTGATTAAAATACACTAATACAATGGAAATATTATGTAACCATTAAATATGAAACTAAATGAACTAAAAAAAAAGTAAAATGTCCAAGAGATAAAGTGGAAAACAAAAGCCAAAGCAGCCAACCATCTGTAGCACGTTCACATTTGTTTAAAACCAATATATGAGATGACTTTATATGCACAGCAATTATCTTGATGATACCCAAGAAGTGTTAACAGTGGTTACTGATCCTGGAGAACAGAATGGGAAAGCGCAAGGCCACATCCAGGAGTGACTCTCACTTTTCGTCTTCACTTTTCTTCATTCTTTTTCAACTTTATTCATGAGCATGTATTATCTTATCAATTAAAAAAATTTTTAACAGTAAGAAGAAAAAAACCCACAAACCCCAAACTGACTGTTACCTAAATGCAAAGAAAGATGCTGGCTACATTTAAGTACATGCTGTTAATACATTTTATAAATTATTTCTTGACCTACTAAAAATATTTAGGCCATTTCTACTATGATCTTAAATGGCATAAAATATATACAAAAGCCTTAATGTGGGCACCATAAGCTAATTTCAAACAGATTTGGTTACTTACTCTCCAACCCCCATTAAAAATGAGAATCTTAGAAGCGGATTTCTTGCTATAAAGTCATACAACAAACCACTTCTTAAACCCACCCTCTGCCCCACAATCAGTTCCCTAAAGCAGAAACATACATGATACTTACAATTGATTTGAATGATTAAGAGAGAACTTAAGTCACCCTTGTTAAAATTAAACGTTGGGACAATCTGGAACATTTATCTTCACTCATCTTAGACTCCATTATCACCAAGAGAAAATTCGAATTGGTGACTTATAGAATGATCTGAAGAAAAAAAATTCACCTCCAGGACTGGATGGAAGCATGAAGAAAATGCCTCATTTATCTAAATGATCAAATGAATTTGCTGGATATGATCACTATACCTTTTTTTTCAATTCACAAAATGTCTCACTTAGGCCAGCCCACGGTTCCCAGACATTATTTCCCAATCTTCTGACAGGCACCCTGTGAAGCTGTCCCACAGGAATTTCTACTTCAATATCCTGGGACAAGGCGTCAAAAAGTACCAAGTGTCAAGTCTCCTTGTCTTTTATGATACCAGCTGGAAAACAGAGGCATGGCCTTTCCTTTCCTTTGAAGAGCACAGCAACAATTTTCCCAAAATCAATCTGCTCTCCACAGCCCCCAAAATCAAAATGTTAAAATTACAACAAAATCATCATAGTATTCCTTAAACTTAAAAAAAAAAAACAACTATTAAAGGCACATTTAATTTAATATCAAAAGTGCGATACAAAAGGCTCAAAATACAATGAAGGAACACATTCCCCCATTAACACCAATGACAATGCTCTTTCAACTTGTGCCTGTTGAATGAAATGGGGATTTAATAAATTTCACTACTAAAAAATAACGCAGCGAGTCTCATCACAGCCAATATCCTTATACAATCTAGTCGTGAAATGAATGTTTATAATGCTTCACAGTTTAAACCTGAAGTTTGATACCACACCTTCATGTTTGTACAGTCCTCAGTAAGATTATCTACAGTATTAGCAACCATTCAAAGAACAAACCATTGATTCAAACCACATTGATTTAAGGCTCAATCAAGTAAGAGAGAGCCCCAAACGAAATGGTTAAATATATGAACTACTTGTACTGATATCTATTAAGTAGTTTCTTATCAAATAAACCCTTGAAATGCAAAATTCACCTCATTTAAGTTTTGATCAAGAAGTTCAACAACAATCATGAAGTCCACAGTCTTATAGGCAAAACTGATATACAGTGTCTCTAAGTCACTATGCTCAAGGTTAAGAGCGATGCATATTCCATTTTTACATTTTACTGGAATTTTACATGTTCAATTCATTATTTTAAATCCCTAGGTTTTCATTCCTCCAAACTGTCTGAAGACACAGTGTGCCACAGACTTAAGACTTCTGTTTCTCCCTCTATTTTCTTCAAACAGAAACATTTCTCAAGTGTCTACATGTCCTAGAAGGGGAATTTTTCGGAGGTGGCCACTTCTTCGGAATAGTCCGACGCCATCAGGCCTCTGAAGCAAGGGGAGGGGAAGAGAAAAAAGCTGAAACAAAGGTTCATCTGGTCAGTGTTACATTAACCATTACACGCTGGATAGTATAAGAATGTGGCTTTTTTGGCTCAAAAAGTCTGAGTCTTGGTGTGGAAACGAGTACTTGGCTGTCCCACCACAGCTTTCTCGTAGTGGGACTGTCAGGGAAGTCTTGACTGGGGAGTATGATTTGTTTACCTATCAGGCGTAAACTTCCAGGCACTCAGTTCATTTTGGGCTTGTTCCAGTTTGTCTTTAGTCTGTTCCAGTTCACCTTTCATTTTTAGGAAAAACAAGTTGATCGCGGGGTCCACCATTGTTGATCTCAGTTGGGCGACACTGGGCTGCTGGACTTGCTTGAGGTACTGGATTTGAGTCTGTGCAAAGCAAAAGAAACAATTACTGCCAAATCAAAGGAAACATACATAAGAAGGTGGGCTAAAATCGATTTCATTTGCTGTATTTGCCAACTTGTTTATGAAAACTCTCCCTCTTTGATCTTAAAATCCTCTAAAGTAAAAATTAAAAACAACTATTTAAAGTTACCCTTAAATTAAGGATATTTAAGGAATTATGGCCATTTGGTTGCATTTCCATATTTGAAACCTTTAAATAAAGAGGCTACATCTTACTTTGCAACCAAAACAGTACCCAAAAAATCGGTTATATTTATTAAAAATGCTAGCAATCACTGGGAAAAAGCCAAGTTTAAAATATTAATTATATAACACTACAGTACTTTACACATTCAAATTTGTGCCCATGGAAGTTATTTTAAGTACAATACAAATCCCTTAAAAATATACCAGGTACAAGGTTATAATTTAAAACACACACTTGCATTTCTAGATTTAAAAATATGTAGTATTTATATTTACACGAGCTGGCATTACTTTATAAACAGCATCTTATAAATAGCTTTATAAATAGCATCTTAAGCCAAAAGAAATTCTATGTTTATTTTTTTCCCTTCGGAGTAGATTTGAATCATAGAATTGTAAAGCTGGAAGGTGACTGACCTAGTCCAAACTTATTTTTGAGAAATTAAATGAACCAAGTGTCCACGAATACAGTTAGTTCAGTGCCAGAACTGGGACTAGAATTGTAGCTCTCAAGCCTCCTGACTCCGATCTAGGGCTTTCCTCACCATACCAGAACTTCCCTACTTACACACGAAACCTTCCATTTCTCTCAGCTGTACTATTTACTATCACCTTAAAAATACCTTTCTAAAATATGAAATACAGTTTATTGGCTTTAAATGTATCACTTGCTTCACACCCAAAGAAGATATGGTTCAAGATCTTGCTCCACACTAAGGCTTAAATAGGATTTAGGTTAACATTTCATAAGTAGCTAATCTCTATCATACATTTAGTAAAAGCCAAAAATATACTAAATGGATTTAGGATACATTTAATTACTATTTCATTGAGCAAAGAGAACTAATTTTTACTTAACTCAGGGAGATTTATTTTAAGTAACTCATTTTAAAAAAATATTTGTATTAATTTTGGAAAGGAAGGGAGAGGGGGAGAGAGAGAAATATAAATGATGCGAGAATCATTGTCTGGCTGCCTCCTGCATGCCCCCTACTGGGGATCAAACCTGCAACCCGGGCATGTGCCCTTGACCGAAATCGAACCCGGGACCCTTCAGTCCGCAGGCCGAAGCTCTTATCCACTGAGCCAAACTGTCTAGGGCAGGGGTGGGCAAACATTTTGACTCGAGGGCCACAATGGGTTCTTAAACTGGACTGGAGGGCCGGAACAAAAGCATGGATGGAGTGTTTGTGTGAACTAACATAAATTCAAAGTAAACATCATTACATAAAAGGGTACGGTCTTTTTTTTTTTTTTAGTTTTATTCATTTCAAACGGGCCGGATCCGGCCCGCGGGCCGTAATTTGCCCACAGCTGGTCTAGGGCTTAAGTAACTCATTTTAAATAAGAAAATACAACTGTTTATTCAATGTAAGGCCAGTTGCTAAGACAATTTAATAGGAATAAAGCATGTCATATAGTACATAGCACATACTACTACCAATAAAGAAAACACTGCCTCTCCAACACCAACATAGTTGCTATTTAGATTTACACAGAGAACTGCACCTGCCACATTAACCTTGACCTTTCCCTGTTTTTGTTCCTGCTGCCCTTTCTGCAAAACTTCCCTCTGTATTCTAACTGAAAGAATGCAGTTGTAAGTTGTTGAGCAGGCCTGTGCAGGGGAGAGCTATAAAAATGTGGCTGGGAAGGTTAGGCTCTAGTTGAGATAACCTTGAAATCTAGGTTGAAAAAGACAAAAGAGTGATAGGGCATCAACAAAGGCTTGATCAGGCATGAATGTTCAAAGTGCCAGTGTATATACGATAGCTGAAGAATCATAAAGGAACCAGCAGCACATATTGTCTGTCTAAAGCAGCAGTCGCCAACCGGTGGTCTGCGGACCACTGGGGGTCCGTGAGGTTCCAAAGGGTGGCGACTGCTGGTCTAAAGCAAATGGTGAGATATACCTGAACTAGGATAACAAGAGGCCTCAAGAAGAGAGGGTTCAAAACACACACGTGTTATGAGGTATTAATTACCACAACTACCCATTCTTACTCTAGCTACACTATCTATCCAGGTGTTAGCACTGGAAAGTAAGATTTAGCCTTTGCATGGGTAAGCATCTTAACACAATGCCATGCAAACAGGGAGAACTAAAATTATTAAATGAGTAAATGGTAGAATCTAGAATCCTAACTATCAGAAAAAGGAAAGAATTAAATGATTTTGAGACTGGGCAACTGAGATGCACTGCCCACTTCATTAGACATGAAAATCATGACAGAAAAAAATTTTTGTTGGAGGAGTGTGTGTTACATAGGAAGAAAACAATAATATTCAAACTATTGATGAGACTTCTTGAAACCAATGGCCAAAGGTGAGGATGGTTTAATAGTTGAAAATACAGAAAGTGAAGGCATGAGTACTGAGAAAAAGAGAAATTTAATGCATTAGTTAGTGACTTTAAAGGGGGGAAAAATTAGTGTTAGTGAAGATGGAAACAAAAGGAGAAAAAGTGATGAGTAGGTACAGAAAATGACAAAGGCTACTGTTTTCTTAAGCAAAGTGACAGGTGAAGAGTCGTTTTGAAAAAGTGAAGAGGGACAAGAGACTTTTGTGGAAATGTAGACAATCTCTGCAGAGTAAGTAAAAGAATGAGAGAAGAAATAGGAATAGGACTGTGCCCAACATTAGTCCCCAGTGACCAGAATATTGCCTTATATATTAGATTTTTATAAATGTGTCGGAGATTACATAAAACTCAAGAAAAGTTCAGATTTTAAAATTAGAAACAGTGACAGAGCTTCCTCTACTTAGTATAACTTACATATACCAACACTAAATTTAAAAAAAGGCTAACACTGTTTAAGACAGCATAAAATTGAATCTAAATTCAACCACAGCTAAACCATCAAATATGTCACTACATTTTAGATCTATGTAGACATGATACAAATGAAAGCTGCAATAATGAAAAAGAAAATGTGGTAGAAGTTGCTGACACATCGAGGGGTAAAGAGAAGAAACTAATCAGATGGTTGACTCTTTTTAAAAATATATGTATTTTTATTGATTTCAGAGAGGAAGGGAGAAACATCAATGATGAAAAATAATCATCGATTGGCTGCCTTCTGCATGCCCCCTACTGGGGAACGAGCCTATAACCTGGGCATGTGTCCTGACTGGGAATAGAAGAATTGTGACCCCCTGATTCACAGGTCAATGCTCAACCACTGAGCCACTACAACTGGGCCACTGATTGATTCTTGTATGTGCCGAGCGGGGTATGAAATCCATGTATTGGGACGATGCTCTAACCAACGTCGACGAGCTACCCAGCCAGAGCACAAACCTATTTTAAATCCAATGATGACAAGCTATCTATTGAAAATTTACATTTTGCTATTTATATCTCAAAGAATATCTACCTAGCAAAATGTGAATTTATAATTATTAAGTATATAGAATTAGCTAAGTACTAATTAACACATGTGATGTGGACTAAAAACCAATTCCTCAGAGAGTTAAAGCATTTGAAATACTTACAGTACACTCTTGCATCTCTTGCTCCTTGGTTGCTAGTCGCATTACAAGGATGTTTTCCCTTCGTGCAGACTCTTGTTGTTGTTGCTTTAGTTTTTCTTCCGACTCCCTTAAGCCAGTTACATCATTAGCTGATGATTTAAAAAAAAATTTTTTTTCAAAACATTATGAAATACAATTTCAAAACCAAATGGAACTAATGAAATGAAAGTTCTGATTGTCTTTGTCAGGATAATAAAAACCAGGGTAAAAAATTCATTAAGTCTTTAGTTTCTCTCTTAACTACGTTTAGAACAAGGAAGCTTGTTCCCAAGCACAGTGCTCTTTTAGGAGATAATGGTGCTATAGTGGTCCAAAGCCACCTAATATTAGATGGAATTATGTTGTTACAGTCTAATCTGTTTCAACTTCACACAGGAAACTTTTGTATTTGCTTATATTATATAGTATTCAGAGTCCTGATTTTAACCTATTCAATATAATAAGCATGTCTATAACTGTACAGACAATTATTACAGCAAGTTTTCATGATGTTCATAACATCTATGGATTATAATATAGTTTTAATAACTGAAATTTCAGGGTACTAAGCTTTCTGGGCTTGGAAAACAATATTGGTTTTTATTTATTTTTAATATGTTTTTATTGATTTTTGAGAGAGAGGAAGGGAGAGGGAGAGAGAGAAACATCAATGATGAGAAAGAAGCATTGATTGGCTGCCTCCTACAAGCCTCCTACTGGGGATCAAGCCTGAAACCCGGGTATGTGCCCAGACAGTGATATCTTGGTTCATGGGTTGACACTCAACCACTGAGCCACACCGGTTGGGCATAATATTGGTTTTTATACTCACAAATAATGTTACTCTCAATGAAAAGTGACAGACTAAAAAGGTTTGATATTATAAACTTTGTTGGTATTTTTAGCAGATTTTGAAAAATCTGTAAAAAATATAGCCATATCTTATTTTTACGATTTAAGTAATAATTAAGTTACAATTTAAATAAATTTATTACTAGTTCTTTGTGCATACCTAGACTAATAACTCGTGCTTTAATTCAAATTCCTCTGTGGAAGGTGTTAGGGACAGATTTAGGAAAGTGTAAAGTAGTTGTGAGTTTCCCTATCCATATTCTCTCAGAATTTTGTACATAATTCTGCTAAAATAGTCATGCTATTATATTATTGCATGTCAGTCTTCCCCAACGACTGGGAACTCCCCAAGAAGAGAGATCATGTGCCAGTCACCTATTTCCTAGCACCCAATATAGTGCCCATAGTTCTTTAATGTTTGAATAAAAATTACATTTGCTTAGCAAAACCAATTATCCTGAATGTCTATAACAATCTAAATAGAGATATTCGCATGGTCTTTAGGAAGCTACAACTCAAACTTACAGTTCAGATCTGTGTACTTGCCCTCCAAAGCTTGCACATATGCTTCATACTGTTTCCATCTAGTACAAAAATAAATTCGTTATTAGTTGTTAAATTGAAATTGTTTTATTAAGAAACTAAAAAAAGTCACATCTGTAAACTTATAAATTTAACACCAAGAATTCCACTGCATGATTTTTAAGGTCTCTTCCATTTTGAGATAATTATAAATCTAGTTTAACCAATAATAAATGAGTCACTTCATTATTCCTTCTCAACTTAATGGAACTATGTAAAAGGAAATACAGATAGAAGTGTTTTCTCCTGAAAACTTACCAAGTGTGTATCTCTGGGTCAGATCACACACCATATAAGACTTTGTATCACTTATGTTCAGTTCAATGCCTGGATAATGGAAGCTGAGTAAAAAACCTACTACGACTTTCAGATATGCTTTCCACCACAAACAAAAGGCATCTGATATAATAAAAGTCTAATATGCTAAGGATGCTCAACCACTCGATGATGCACACTGACCACCAGGGGGCAGACGCTCTGACCAGTAGGCTAGCTTGCTGCTGGGGACCAGCTGATTGGGACTGAGCAGGACTGAGCAAGATGGGCCAGAAACACCCTGGAACCCTCCCGTGTCCCTCCCCGGCACCAACTGCACCAGTGGGGTCCCTTGGCCTGGCCTGTGCCCTGTTGCAATCCGGGACTCCTCGGGGGATGTCAGAGAGCCGGTTTCGGCCCGATCCCACAGGCCAGGCCGAGGGATCCCACTGGAGCACGAATTCGTGCACTGGGCCTCTAGTATAAAATATGCCTAATTATAAGAGGCTGCAGGTTATCTTGGCTCTTTTGTGAAAATACCATGTGACTCTCTCAAAAATAATATTTATTTTTACTTGTAAAAAAAAGGAGAGAAAATACTACTTTTCCAGTCTATTTGTAAAGCTGTATCAACTTGCATAAATGCTATATACTGTCAGAATATAAGAAGTCCTTTCTTCCTCATTATATTCCCCTACCCACAAAACATAGGCTATATTAGCTGCTCTTGCAATGACTGCACATAAACAACAAAGCTTTTCCCAGTCATATGTTTAAGCAACTGCTAATGCAAGCATAATCTGCCCTGACTGTCGCTGTCTTGCTTACTGAAGAGCTATGTTTTCAAGCCACTCTTTAGTTGCAGCTAATCAAAATTTAATTTTAGAAAATCTTTTTATAATTTTAAAAACTTTGACAGGTCAGCTATAAGATTTACTATTACAACACAATGACCAAAAAATACCAAGCTAATCTACCTTCCATATAAAGACTACTGTTCAGCCAAGAGCATGTTATTTTTATAGCCAAGACAACCTAGGGTACAAATCAAGTGCATTCAATATTTGGGGATCAATAAAGGTCTCTTGTGGAGGCAATATAAGAACTATTTGTTTTAGAAGAATGGAAAAATATAAAAAAGTCAACAAAAACATCCTTATCAAGAAGCCAAAAAGTACAGACTAGTTAAATAAGTAGCAATTGATTTAAAATCACCAAGAGAATTAATGAGGGAAAAACTCATGAGAATTCCCTAAAGAAAGAAGTTAATCTCACCTCAAGAATATCCCCCACCCACACACACAATCAAGAAAAAGACTGCACATACTAACCAGAGGAATTATCTAAGAAAGGATAAAAGGCAAGGACTGTCTCATATCAGAGGTACAAAGAGAACAAAAGGTGAGTGGCAGTATATCATAAGCAAGTGCCTACCGCAGCAGGGAAGGACAAGAGTGTTTTAGAATGCTAAGGATTCAAAATTTATGTGGAGGAAAATAAAGGGTATGCAATGGAAAAAGTGTCCTATGCATAAGATTATGCAAAGGAAGATAAAGAGAAGTCCACAACAGAGTAAGTAGAACGAGTGGGAAATTATCAGACTCTAGGAAACAATAGAACGAGTAACCTGTGTCTATCTTACAAAACACCTCTTCTCTCTACTCTAGCCGATTAAATTTATTTAGTCCTTCAAGTAAAAATTCTGTGAAATTTCTAGAGAAAGTTCAATGACCCTGAAAAATATTCATTTATTTTTACCTAAAAATGTCACGTAAAAACTTATCAACCATAGCAATAAAATGCAGAAAGAATATATTTAAGTTATAAAACACAAAACATGCGATTCTTTTTCTGATTTCTTGCATTTAAAAGAATGAATACCATAATGCTGCATTTCTCAATCTATTTTTGCAAGACAATTATAAGATAACCCCAGAAAATCAGAGCTGGAAGTAACTGTTAAAAGTAATTTAATCCAACTCCTTTAATGCCAAGATGAGAAAATGAAGGATATAAAGAGTTAAATGAGCCGACTAAGGTTCCTTAGAAGAAAGAGTAACTTGCCTTCATCAGTAAATAATGTATTTCTTCCATAACTGAAAACATATCCTTTAGGACTATAACTTTTTCACATATTAAACAGGAAAGGAATAACTACATTAAACTAATTTTTGCAAGGAAAAAATTCAGGTTACCTATTAGTCTAGAAGTTACCCAACCTAGTGCTTTAGATCTTTAAAGTGTTATGCTTTCCTCAATGATTATATAATAAAGAAACAGGCCATAAAAAACACATTTCAAAAGTACATTAAATGATTTGAAGATGTATGCACATTGAAAATAAAATACCTAACAGACAAAAACTTTATAGTATAGAATTACAATATAATGCTCTATAAAAATATTTTTATATTTTGAAAAATAAAAGAACATTTTACCTTAAAATTAACTCATCTCGTGCCATAACTTTGAAGTCTGTCTCACTCAGTCGAACCTATAAAGAGAATTGAAATATGAACTGGGTGCTTTTCCTAAACATTTTAAATGTACATACCACTGTTGCTTACACTTTTCATATTTTATGAAGATAGGATAACTTCTAATGCCTCAAGCGCTGGTTTCTAATAGGAATCCCTTTATCACTAAGACAGTAGTTCTCAACCTTCTGGCCCTTTAAATACAGTTCCTCATGTTGTAACCCAACCATAAAATTATTTTCGTTGCTACTTCATAAAGGTAATGTTGCTACTGTTATGAATCGTAATGTAAATATCTGATATGCAGGATGGTCTTAGGCGACGCCTGTGAAAGGGTCGTTCAACCGCCAAAGGGGTCGTGACCCACAGGTTGAGAACCGCTGCACTAAGACATTCAAAGCCCTTCCAAAAGGAGCACTATACTGAGACATATGAAACATCTCCAAGCCTGAGACTTAGAAATGGTTCAGTATCCTATATAATAAAAGGCTAATATGCAAATTGTCCCCTCGACTGGAAGTTCGTCCAGGGGGCAGGGCTGCCCGCCAACCACCCGGGTGGGGCTGGCCAGCCAACCTCCTGTGTCCCCTCCACCTGGCCGGCCCTCTCTGATCGGCCCCAATTGGGGCGGCTAGCCGGACCCCCACCCAGTGCACGAATTCGTGCACCAGGTCTCTAGTATACTATACTTAAAAAACACACACATAACTCTTATTTATGTAAAGTAGTTTTAAAAAAGTAAACCATTTATCTTTAAAACGAGAGGCCCAGTGCACAAAATTCATGCATGGGTAGGGTCCCTAGGCCTGGCCAACAATCAGGGCCTTCTAGCTGCCAGCCAGGGCCTTCCTTTGTTCCGCGCTGCCCCCTGGTGGTCAGCACACATCATAACGAGCTATTGAACTCCCAGTCTCCCAGTTGAATTCCCGAGGGGACACTTTGCATATTAACTTTTTATATATATAGATGCGCATCATTATTAGGGACATGCAAATTAAAACCCCAATGAGCTATCATTACACACCTATTAAAATGGCTAAATAAAAGATTGTGGTAACAACTCCAAATGGTAGGTAAAGATGCAGAATAAGATTGCTGGTGAGAATGTAAAATGGTATGGCTGCTCTGAAAAACAGTTTGGTGGTTCCTTTTAAAACTAAAAATAGATGTGCTCGACAACCCAGCATTTGAACTCTTAAGCACATATCCCAAAGAAATGAAAATGTATTTTCACACAGAAACTTGTACATGAATGTACAGCTTCATTTGCAACAGCCAAAACTTGGAAACTACCCATACTTCAACAGGTGAATAATTAAATTATGATACATCCACACCATGGGATACTAAAACGAAACAGACATAAGCAATTTGGATAAGCCTCAAGGAAAATTATACTGGGGGAAAAAAATCTCAAAAGGATACATATACTGCATGATTTCATTTATATACATTGGTAAAGTAGCATAATTATAGAAAACTGCTTAATGTTTGCCAGGTGTTGGGGGTTGAGAAGGAGGGAATGGATATGGCTATCAAGAAATGACACAAGGGAAGCTTGAGGTGATGAGTTAGTTAACTAATCTGGTTGTAGTGTTGGTAACACTAAGTTATGTGAGATAAAACTACATAGACACACATATGCACTCTCTGCATATATAACCTGTGAAATCTGAATAAGCTCTGTGGATTGTATCAATAAGCTCTGTGTTGAGTTCCTGGTTTTGATGTTATGCAAGATGTCAACCTTGAAGGAGGCTGGAGGAAGAGTGTATAGAACATCTCAGCACATTTCTCTGCAACTTTTTGCGAATCAATAATTATTTCAAAACTAGAGGCCCAGTGCACGAAATTCATGCACAGGTAGGGTCCCTAGGCCTGGCCAGCAATCAGGGCCCATCAGAGCCTTCTGGCTGCTGGCCAGGGCCTTCCTTCATTCTGCACCACCCCTTGGTGGTCAGTGCACATCATAATGAGCGATCAAACTCTCAGTTCAACTCCCAAGGGGACACTGCATATTAGCCTTTTATATATACATATAGATAGAAGATAAAGTTTTAAAAAATGGGCATAATAGTCTACCTCAGTGGTCGGCAAACTTCGGCCCCTTGAGTGTGGCTCTTCCACAAAATGCCATGTGCAGGTGCACACGTACAGTGTGATTGAAACTTCGTGGCCACACTCAAGGGGCCAAAGAGCCGCATGTGGCTCGTGAGCTGCAGTTTGCCAACCACTGGTCTAGCTAGCTGAAATTACTCGTAAATTGAGGAATATTGTTTTCTCTATACCAAATGATTATAAAGGTGAGGTACCTCTTCTACTCTAGTATAAAATTATGGCTATAGTCCTAGCCAGTTTGGCTCAGAGGATAGAGCATCAGACTATGGACTGAAGGGTCCCCGGTTCGATTCTCAGTCAGGGCACATGCCAAGGTGCAGGCTCAATCCCCAGTAGGGGGCATGCAAGGAGGTAACTAATCAATGAGTCTCTCACATCAGTGTTTCTTTCTCTCTCTCCCTTCCTCTCTGAAATCAATAAAAACATATTTTTAAAAAATTATGGCTATATTATAGTTTCCCTTATAACATACACTTATATCCTGCTTTCCCAATTGAATTATAAATTCCTCTTAGAAATGTTACTTTTTTAAATAAAACAAAGTACGATTTAATGCTTTGGCACACATCTGACTTTGTGCTCTGTACCAAGGCAAGCTAACAACTAGAATATGAAGTCCCATCTCCACTATTTCTTTTTTCCTCCTTTCAACTGAATGTAATGATGGACACTGGTTAACAAAATCATACGAGTTTCAGGTGCACATTGCCACACATCATCTGTACACTGTACTGTGTTCACCATGCCAAGTCAAGTCTCCTTCCATCACCATTTATCACCCCATATACCCTTCACCTCCCCCACCAATCACTATACTGTTGTCTGTATCCATGAGTTTTTTTCCCCTCAATCCTTCCACCTGCCCATACCACCCTCAACAGCTGTCAGCCTCCTCTGAGTCTGTCTTTATTTTGCTTAATTCATTCTGTTGATTAGATTCCACAAGAATGCAATCATCCGATACTTGTCTTTCTCTGAATGGCCTATTTCACTTAGCATAATGCTCTCCAGGTCCATCCATGCTGTCACAAAAGGTAAGATTTCCTTCTTTTTTTAAGGCCTAGTAGTATTCCACTGTGTAAATGTACCACGGCTTTTTTATCCACTCATCTACGGACACTTGGGCTGCTTCCAAATCTTGGCTATTGTAAATAATGCTGCAATGAACATAGGGGTGCATATAGTCTTTCAAATTAGTGTTTCGGGTTTCTTCGGATAAATTCCCAGAGGTAGAATCTCTGGGTCATAAGGCAGTTCCATTTTTAATTTTTTAGGTAACTCCATACTGCTTCTCACAGTAGCTGCACCAATTTGCATATCCACCAACAGTGCATGAGAGTTCCCTTTTCTCCACATCCTAGCCAAGACTTGTTGCTTGTGATTTATTGATGATAGCCATTCTGACAGGTGTGAAGTGATATCTCGTGGTTTTAATTTGCATCTCTCTGATTAGTAACATTGAGCATCTTTTCATTTGTCTACTGACCATCTGAATGTCCTATTTAAGGACATGTCTATTCAGGACTTCTGTTCATTAAAAAAAAATTTTTTTTGTATTGAGTTTTATAAGTTCTTTATAAATTTTGGATATTAACCCCTTATCAGATGTATTGGTGAATAAGTTTTCCCATTCAGTGGGTTGTTTTCTCACTTTGCTGATGGTTTCCTTTGCTGTGTAAAAAATCTTTTTAGTTTGATGTAGTCCCATTTGTTTATTTTTTTCTTTTGTCTCCCTTGCCTGAGGAGATATATCAGAAAAAATATTGCTACGAGAAATGTCCGAAATTTTATTATTACTTCTTTGTAACTGTGTGTGTGCGTGTGCGTGTGTGTGTGTGTGTGTATAAAATATTGACTATACTGAACTAATAGGAATACAGAACAGGGGGATAATGAGACCAGAGGAAAAGGTAGAACCTAAGAACTAAACAGTTGTAACCTTTTTTTGAAACATATAAAAATAAATTTACATTACAATCAAAGGAATTTAAATTAGGAAAAAAGAAATTAACTTATAGAAACCTGCAGAAAAATATCTCCTTTTCTGACATTATTTGTATAATGTTCACATAATAAAGGCTAAGAGTAGAGCAAGGGAAAAACATTACAAGAGTTTTCCAAAATTTGAAAATATTCTAAAAATACACTTCATATGAGATACAATGTATAGTACATTATATACCCATGATGCTATTATTATCATAGGCAAAGGAGTGAACATTAAACAAACACTCGAGATAGTGTGTGTGTGTGTGTGTGTGTGTGTGTGTGTGTGTGTGTAAATAAAATGCTTAAAAACTGCTGGAAAAACACACCTTTTTGGGAAGAGGTTCCTCGTTGGTCATCTTGAATCCTAGAAAAAGGGATAGAGAGATGAGGTTCAATTGATTTTTTTCCATTGAAAGTAGGAACAAAAAATACTGGCCTTTTCAAACCAATTTATTAGTGAACTCAATTATGACCAAGTCATTAAGGGTTCTTTTGAATTTAAATAAATCTTTTGTTTTAGATTTACAGAACAGTTGCAAAGACATTACAGGGTTCCTGAAATTGCCACACCCAGTCTCTCAAGTTAACATCTTACATTAGCATTACTATTACATTATATTGCAACTATTAGGTTATTTAAAAAATTCTTTTATAAAAAAGTTGTTCTTTTTGATGTTGCCATAAAGGATTGAGAGATAATTTTTCAATGCATTATACAACTGCCCTATGAAAGACAAATCTTGCAGAAGTGACAACTTTGTGCTGAAGTCAGATATTGACTTCAGGCAGTATCCCAGGCATCTTGCTGAATTGATATAGAAGAGTAGGACCAGTTGCTAAGCCTTTTCTTTTACAGCATTATGGTTAAGGTAGAAGCTATCATTGCCATAATTCACTACTGTACAATGCTTACATATAATATATACACCTTAATAAAAATATTCCTACACTATTTAATCACATGTCACAATAATTTGTATCTCAAAATGTTTCTTTATATAAATTTATACAAAATTCACTTACTCTTGTTGCAAAAGATAAATTGAAAAACTATTCTCATAAGCTTTATATGCTTACTGAAAATACTTCTGGTTATGTCCCCATATTCAAATTTAACAAGGAGGCAAGCTAATTTAAACTTATTGCTAGGTATCATTTATAATAGTACTAGAGGCCCGGTGCATGACATTCATGCACTGGGTGGTGGTGAGGGATGGGGAGGAGAATGAATGTCCCTCAGCCCAGCCTGCACCCTCTCACAGGCCAGGACCCCTCCGGGGATGTCCGCTTGCCACAGAAGTGGGAGAGGCTCCTGCCACTCGCCAGCTGTGAGCCTGGCTTCTGGCTGAGCAGTGCTCCCCCTGTGGGAGCGCACTGACCACCAGGGGGCAGCTCCTGCGTTGAGCATCTGCCCCCTGGTGGTCAATGCGCATCATAGCGACCAGTAGTTCCACTGTTCAGTTGATTTGCATATTAGTCTTTTATTATAAAGTAATGAATGTCCCTTATAAACTTTCCCTATAGTTTATTTTACCTGCCCATATTCCAAATTATTAAAAATTTAACTAAATAGAAATAAGTTATGGTAATGTACAGCATAGTAAATATTTGAGAATGGTATTCTATTTTTCATATCACATACAATCCCAACTCTGTTAAGTCAAATACTCTAAACCAGCGGTTCTCAACCTGTGGGTCGTGACCCCTTTGGTGGTTGAACGACCCTTTCACAGGGGTCACCTAAGACCATCCTGCATATCAGATATTTACATTACGATTCGTAACAGTAGCAACATTACAGTTATGAAGTAGCAACGAAAATACTTTTATGGTTGGGTCACAACATGAGGAACTGTATTTAAAGGGCCAGAAGGTTGAGAACCACTGTCTAAACCAGGGGTGGGCAAACTTTTTGACTCGAGGGCCACAATGGGTTCTTAAACTGGACCGGAGGGCCGGAACAAAAGCATGGATGGAGTGTTTGTGTGAACTAATATAAATTCAAAGTAAACATCATTACATAAAAGGGTACGGTCTTTTTTTTTTTAGTTTTATTCATTTCAAACAGGCCGGATCCGGCCCGCGGGCCGTAGTTTGCCCAAGGCTGGTCTAAACCCTGACTTTCAGATTAGGTACATTGTGAAGGAATTGGGACATGTTAGAAATAATCGTAAATTGATCACATCATAAATTACTGGCTTAATTCTTCCCTCTTTAATAAGCTTATCATTGGATGTCGCTAGGAAAAACCTGAGTATATCACCCTCTCCAAGTTCATCTCCACAGAGGCTTGACTATTTCTATTTTAGCTTTAACGTGCATTCACTTCACTAGGCTGTTTACCTTTCAGAACCCAGAAAGTTTGGCATTTACTTGCAATTGTCCATTTGTCCAGAGCTAAATATAATAGGTAAATATCAATAATCTATTGAATAAAAAAAAACAAACCTATAAGACAATTATAGCCATTTGAAGTTTTAGCCATATTTAACTAATATATAAATGTGTACCAATGTATGTCACTATTCTAGGTAAATCTTTCTAAAAGGCTTTTCATCTTACTCAAAACAGTACATGCCAATTCCTTGCCCTTTTATTGAGGGTTATTTTTCTTCATTGCTCTTAGCACGATCTGATATTTTATATACTTACTAGAGGCCCAGTGCACGAATTCATGCACCAGTGGGGTCCCTCGGCCTAGCCTGCGGGATTGGGCCAAAACTGGCTCTCTGACATCCCCTGAGGGGTCCTGGATTGCGAGAGGGTGCAGGCCAGGCCAAGGGACCCTACTGCTGCACGATCAGGGCCAAGGAAGGACCATGGGAGGGCTCCAGGGCATGTCTGGTCCATCTCACTCAGTCCCAACTGGCCAGACCCCAGCAGCAAGCTAACCTACCAGTTGGAGCATCTTCCCCCTAGTGGTCAGTGCACATCATAGTGACTGGTCAACTGGTTGACTGTCTGCACCCTGGTGGTCAGTGCATGTCATAGCGAGCGGTTGAGTGGCATTAGCATATTACACTTTGATTGGTTGAAAGGCCGACCAGTTGACCAGACACTTAGCCTATTAGGCTTTTATTATATAGGATGTTTCTCCCAGTTATGAAATAAGCTCCATGAGAAAACTTCCATTCACTGCTGATGCCTCAGTACATGGTAGGCACTCAAACATATGCTAAACAAGTGAATTTGCTTGTTACTATTAAATCATAAAAGGTGAGCTACATACTTGCATGCATATAAACATAACCAATGGACACAGTAAGGGGATGAGGGCATGTGCTGGGGGGTGGGAGCGGCCAGGGAGAGGTCAATGGGGGGAAAAATGAGACATATGTAATACTTTCAACAATAAAGAATTTAAATTTAAAAAAGTGAGCTAAATAAACAAATCTAGTTTTTCCCCCAAATCAACCAAGATGACAATCCTGTAAAATTCTGAGTATATATGTGGAACTTAATATTAACAGGTATTGTGATAGAGCTCTATTAGTGACAGTTTGAAAACAGCTAAATTTACCACTGTGGATAGGGAGTCTACCTGTTACCTAGTTACTGGGCACCAGAGCCACTCAAAATAAAATCTTAGTTATAAAACTTAAGTATTATGGATGCTATTTAATATAGATTAAACATTAAATTCCAGTTATAAATGAGTATAAGTTTCTACAACCTGACACTTTGCCCAGGTTTATTTGTTCATTCTTTTCTTAATACATAGTTACTCAGCTTTTTATTCTATTAAAATAAAGTTAATTGCAAACTTAACTAGCAATAAATATGCTAAAGTGTTTTTTTAAAGGGCATTTACATGATGGAGAAGTTCTACTAGCCCTACTTTTCCAGAACAGAGTGACAAACTTTGGAAGAAAAAAAAAAAAGGCAGCGTAACCTGAGCCTCAGTTTCCCCATTTAAAAATGATTACCACCACGAAGGCTCAAAATTATTGTGCTATTTTTAAAGATAAACATTAGACTTTAGCATGGAGACTGGCACAAAATAAGCATTTAATTACTAGTTTACTCCTCATTAAAAAAACTCCACAAAGACCCTCAATCACTATTTCTCGAAAAGCCCAAGGGAGAATCAACAGGTTGACAATAACAATATTTGTTTCTAAGCCTCACTGTAGAATTTTTGGTGATCTCTAATTTTTAGAATTATAAACAGCGAGTTATTTTAATTTCTAACATTGGCTTACATCCTCTTATAAAAAGTTTGATGCTGGGTAGATTTTAAAAACAAACTGCTTAGAGGATATTTATATTTTTTCTTTTTTAAAAATATATTTTCATTGATATCAGAGATAAAGGGAGAGAAAAAGATAGAAACATCAATGATGAGAATCACCGATTGGCTGCCTCTTACATGCCCTCTACTGGAGATCCAGCCCTCAATCCAGGCATGTGCCCTGACCTGGAAATCGAACCATGACCACCTGGTTCATAGATCAACGCTCAACCACTGTCCCACACCGGCCAGGCTGTATTTTCTTTACGTACAAAAATAAATACAGGCCTGGTATAAATCTTTGCATTTCACATGTCGATTATCAGTCACAGGTCATTCCACATATTATGGGATATGTAAGCTGGGAATTCAAAGCATATGCATTTAGAAACTCCTCCCTTATCTTTAACTGATGACAAGTCAATCTTTCCTTGAGAGTCCATGATATTGCACAATAGTTAAATGGGCAGTCTGGCAAAAGGCAAATTAAAACAAGTTTAAAATTTAAAAGCATCAACATCCAACTAATTAATCAAAATAGAACCTGGTTTTGACTTTCACATTGCACAAATGTGCTAAGGAATTTATTTCCCAATACAATTTTTTTTGGCACAACTGACAGCACACAATAACCTTCTAAAGTCAATTCCAGAGCCATAAAGACAATGGGCATTCCAGGTTCTTAGTACAATCAATCTATTCTTGTATCGGAAAAATGGAATGACCGAAATATCATTTGGAGTTGAACCTTGAAGGAAAAAAATGAATATATGTTCAGTGCTATGAGCCATTCATTTAATAATTCTAACTTTTCAAAGTTAGTCCCCATTTTCCAGATGATGAAATGACAAAAGTTAGTAACTAATGAAGATGGGCAATTCTCCCCTCTCTCATCCTAAATAGTGATCAAGCAGCTTATAGCTAGAAAATGCAGAAAAGCAAAATAAGTAAAATTCAAAATTGGCCAATTTGGTTACCTTTTAGTACATTTAAGAAAACTAGTTAAACATGATTTTAAAATTATGTAACGGTTTCAGTTATTCATGTGGATAATTTAAAAAGATAATATAGCTCAAGTTTAGAATGTCAGAACCACCAACCACTCTTGATGCCTTAATATTGAATAACAGATGATGATCTAGATTAGAGGCTCAGTTTGAGTTGGCTGGGTGGCTAGCATCCCAAATCCCAGTACTTCCCTGACTCTCAGCATTATGATCCTAAGTTATGCAACTCAGGTCTCTGTAAACGGAGAGGCAAGCACCAGCCAACACAACTTCAGTAAGAAAGCATGTGCCTAGCTGAAACTCACAACTAAACACAACGAATTAATAATACAACATGGTACCAGCCTGGGCGCTGTAACAGGAAGGGTACTAGTTAGGAATCGGAAGGCCACCCATCCTGACTCTTGTACCTTCTCAGCCCTGTGATCCTGAGCAGGTCACTTAACTCTCTGGGCTACAGTCTCCAAAACAGCAAAAAGGGGACACCAATTTTCACTGCCTCACCAAGTGCTGCACACCTCAATGCTTTAGGTGCCATACCCCCCCCCCAAAAGGGGGGGGGGGGGAATCTTTCAAATAAAACACTCACACTAACGTAGAAGATAGTTTTAACGTGTATTTGGGGGAGAACATTTATTTATAACATTGAACTCTAGCCTGATGCACCACTTTCATAACCAATATACTATTATGGGCATATTAAAAAGTTTTTCTCTGATAAGTCTAGTGATAGAAAAGTATGTAGAGGCAAAAAAAAAAGTGGGAGATAATCTAAAACTACCGAGGTCATGTTTTGCTACATGACCTACCAACATACAATTTTAAGGGCAGGAAAAAACTTTTTTCAAGAGCAACATCCCATCCAATTAATGACCAAGACTGCTACTAAGTATACGGAGCGGAAGACAGCGGGTTTACAGCGGGGAGTCCGGCAGGTGCTCATTCTTGTTACTGTTCTCCGCACCGACAACTGTAGCCCCGCTGTGTCCGTCCCGCCGTGTTCCGGGGGCCCGGACCGGTACCGCGCGGACACGTGGGCAGCTACTCCCACTCCCACGTCCACGTGCACCTCGGGGCTCCCCGCTCCCAGCGATGCCATCACTAACCCCTCGGGGTGGGGAACGACGAGTGCCATTCCGGGCGTAGGGTGGGTGCGCAGGGAATATTTATTACTCCACCCTGGGAAAGAGACT